ATTGAGTTAAATGTTTTTTTTTTGCAGACCCTGAATACAAATCTATAATCAAAACTGTTTTGTATTTTTTTTTTTATTTTCTTACAATTTTTCTTGGCAGATAGTCATTGAACACAGTGTCAAATTTAAATATAACATGTACTTTGACTAAACCCTCCTTTCCTGTCCCAACTTTTTCTCCTCCTGCTTGTCTCCTTCTTTTTGTGAACTTTATGTGTCTTTGTGGTTTACTTTTTGGGCATGAAAAGCTGGTTTGTCTAAGCTTCTGGTTCTCTCTTTTGATTTTATATTGGAGTGGCCAGATTGCTTTTGTCTTCTGGAGTTCCCACAGAGGCCCAAGTCAGATGAGGATCAGATGCTCTCAGGCTTTCTTCTAAGGTCTGGATCCCTCCAGGAAAGATGCTGTCCTCCAGAATTCGGGGATTGGACTCATCTGGGAGCAGGGTCCAGGAAAGATGCTGGTCTAGGGCAGCTGGTGGCTGTGCCACCCAGAGATGCAAAGGAAGATGGGGGCTGGAAGCTGCCCCAAGGGCTCCTGGGGACTGTACTGAGGAGCTGGGTTGGTCTGGATGCAAAGGATCAGGAAGCTGAGAGGTCAGCCCCAGTGTCTAGGAAAGAGGCTGGTCAGTTGTACAGCCCAGGGAAGCAGAGAGAGGTGAGCATGGGGCTAGGCCCAGAGGGCTCCTGGAGACCTCAAGAAGGAACTGGGTTGGTCTGGATGCAAAGGTTCAGGAAGCAGTGGTGGTTTCCCCGGTGTCTGGGGTGCCAAGAGAATGAATGGGACAGGACTCAGGCTAGGATGAGAGAGTGAATGAGGTGGGGGGGGGTAAGTCACAGAGGATATGGTGCTTTTATGCAGTTTTATTTAAAATCTGCATGCTGTAAAAATATAGAGAAAGGCACATTTGTTTAATGTCCTTTAAATTAATTAATTGCCTTTTTTGAGACAGGGTCTCCCTGTAGCCCCAGCTGTCCTGGAAATCAGTATGTCTACCAGGCTGGCCTCCAACTCACAAAGATCAGCCTGCCTCTACCTCCCAAGTGCTGGGATTAAAGGCGTGTGCTACCACACCTGGCTAATTTATTTTTTAAAGCAGGATCTCATGTAGCCCAGACTGGTCTTAAACATGCTATGTAGCTTGAATTTCTGATCTTTCTTCCTCCACCTCCCTAGTACAGGGATTGTAAGCATGTGCCACCATGCCTGAGTTATGTGGTGCCTCAGGATCAAATCCAGGGTTTTGTGTATGCTAGGCAAGTACTCTACCACTAACCCACATATCCATTCCTAATTTTTTAAAAAAATCAAACCATTACACAGTTACCTATAGTTTTATTAATATCTTGGTATAAGTTATTTCACAATAAGGACTATTTTGCTTGCTAGGATATTTAGCACATAAATATGTAACATGACTCAGTAAGGAATGTTGCTACTGTGATAACTTTTATTGTAACTTTTCTAAAAGTTTTTTGTGATCCATTTAAGTATACTAAGTCTTTTGTAGATTCATTAGCTTTTCTTTTTCATCCTTAGGTTGAGGAATGGAGTAAAGTTTTGTAAAGTACAAAAGTTTCCTGAGGTATGTACTCATGTTTTAATGTGATAACACACTACAGGGCATTCTCTTAGATCAATTGAAACATGAAGTGGTTGTATGTTGACTTGTTATGCATACCTTAGCATTCATTTTTGAGATATTTATTTGGGTTAAATATTAGAACACTTTTAACAGTATGCTGTGCTGAACATGTCAACAAACACTGTAGAATCTTGCCAAGTATAAAGTGTAAAATTAGATCCCACCTCTCGGGAGGCAGAGGCATGTGGATCTCCGTGAGTTCCAGGCCAGCCTGGTCTATATATGAGTTCCAGGCCAGCTGGGGATACAGGGAGACCCTGTCTCAAAAAGACACCCCCCCCCAATAATGTAAAATAAGAAAGATTAGGAAGAACCATTCTTCACTGTTTATACATCTTAAATATCTCTTGAGGGATGGGAGAGATGGCTCAGCAGTTAAAAGCACTGACTGCTCTTACAGAGGACCTGGGTTTGGTTCTCAGGACCCACATGGTAGCTAACAACTCTCCCTAACTCCAGTTCAAGGGGATCCGACACCTTCTTCTGAATGTGGGCATTGCATGACACGGGTGCACTTCACATACATGCAGGCAATACATTCATACACATAAATTAAAAATATTTTACAAATATCTCTGGAGTCAGGTTACAATTGGGTTTATATTTATCTTACTATTTAACTCAATATGAATCCTTCATAGACTCCTTTATCGAGAATATAAAATGAAACTAAATATTCTAAGATAAACTTTTAAATGGCTATAATTTTATTTCGATTGAACACTTCGTTTTCTTATAAAATAAAAACCTTAGTGTTCTGGGGCTGGAGAGATGGCTCAGCAGTGAAGAACACTGTTCTTGCCGAAGATCCGGGTTCAAATCCCAGCATCCACATGGCAGCTAACAACTGCCTGTAACTCCAGTTCCAGGGGATCTGACTGTCTCTTCTGTCCTCCAGGGGCATTGCACAACACAGGTGCACTTACCTGCGCAGGCATAACACTTATATACATAAAATAAAAATAATAAATAAAATATTTAAAAAACCCTTAGTGTCCTAAATGCTTTTTATCTTTTCTAACGATGAATTGAATTTTGTCTTTTAGATTTTATGTATTCACCTTAAAAGATTCAGACATGAACTGATGTTTTCCACCAAAATCAGCACCCATGTTTCATTTCCGCTAGAAGGGCTGGACCTGCAACCATTTCTTGCAAAGGACAGTCCTGCTCAAATTGTGACCTACGATCTTCTGTCAGTCATATGTCACCATGGCACTGCAAGTAGTAAGTACAAAGGCTGGACGTTTGTTTTCGATTAAAAAGCACATGCCTGAGTTGATCCACGCCTGGCACATGACTGCTTTTGTACTAGGCTTTCAAGACTACATTTTCCAAAATGGGTGTGGTGGAGCACATTTGTATTCTGAGCACTTGGAAATCTGAGGCAGTAGGATTGTAAATTCAAGGTCAGCTTGGCTACATGGGGAGAGTCTGTCTACAAAGAAAGACATAAGATTCAAAGTTTCTATGTTTCTTTTTTTTTGTTTTGTTTTTTTGGTCTTTTTGAGACAGGGTCTCCCTGTAGCCCCAACTGTCCTGGAACTCACTATGTAGACCAGGCTAGCCTTGAACTCACAGAGATCTGCCTGCCTCTGCTTTCTGAGTGCTGGGACTAAAGGTGTGTGCCACTACGCCCACCCAAGTTTCTCTCTTTAAGTGGTGTTGAGAATACAGAGGGGAAAAAAATGAGATCTGAATGATAGTTGGTCTTGATACCTTTAGGCTGCTTTGCAAGTACCAGGGATACAGGAAGTTTATTCTCATGCATGGTGGTGTACACCTTTAATCTCAGCACTCAGGAAGCAGAGACAGGTGGAGCTCTGTGACATTGAGGCCAGCCTGTTCTACAAAGTAAGCACCAGGGCAGTTGGCACTACAGGGAGACCCTGTCTCAAAACAAAAGCAAAAAAGAAAAAAGTATCTTTCGATTTTTTGTGTGAAATGGTAGCACTGTAATGAGTTCTCTCCCCTGAGCACAGGCGGACACTACATAGCCTACTGCCGAAACAGCTTAAACAACCTGTGGTATGAATTTGATGATCAGAGTGTCACTGAAGTCTCAGAGTCAACTGTACAGAATGCCGAGGCCTATGTCCTCTTCTATAGGTAATGGAGACAACCATCATTACAAATAGGAAGCACATCTCTTTGGAGGTTTTAGTACTTCTAAGACTTCACATGGATTTCTGAGTGATCAGAAACTACTCTAGAGTAGAATGAAGTAGGAAGATCCTTTGTTCATAAAATTAAATATTCATAGAAGGGCAAAGGGATTTATTTTGTTTTAGAAAGATTGGGGTTTTTGTTTTGTTTTTTAAGTGATCATTTCTTTTTTTTTAACATTTATTATTGATTTATTATTTATGTGTATGTCAGAGAACAACTATTAGGAATTGGTTCTTTCCTTCCACCATGTGGGTTCTGGAGAATGAACTCAGGTTATCAGGCTTGGTTGCAAGCCCCCTTACCTGGTAAACCATCTCACAAGTCCAGGATTAGTTTTAATTTAAAAAAAGCAGGCACACAATTGAAATTAAATACCAAATTTCTTCCTAAAATACCCAATAGTAAAGAAGGCATTACTATAAAAATCTTCCAGTATCTTATGAAAAAAATGCTGGCTACTGAACCAGGAGCCCAGAATACAGCTGAGCTTTTTAACTTGATCTTATTAGCAAACACTGAATGCCTGCCATGTACCCGTGGTGGTTACGTGGACACCAGTAATTTAGATTCAGTGTTACTCCTAGGGTAATGCATAATGTCTAGAGAGGGGGGATGAAGAATATTTCTCTTGATCCACAGTGGTAGTGTGCATGCTAAATCTAATGAGGAAAAGTCCACCTGTTCGTCTAATGTAGTAAAATACATACTGCATTTAATGAATCATTTTCTTAACAGGAAGAGTAGTGAAGAGGCACAAAAGGAGAGGCGAAGGATATCAAATTTGTTGAACATAATGGAACCTAGCCTTCTTCAGTTTTATATTTCTCGACAGTGGTTGAATAAATTTAAGACCTTTGCTGAACCTGGCCCTATTTCAAATAATGACTTTCTCTGTATTCATGGAGGTAAGGAATCCTCTTATACAAAGTAGTGGTAGAGGGTTGCTGTTAATTTGAAAATTAGAAAGAGCCAAGCATTTCCTCTTGTATTTATTGCCCATGTCTCCATCTGTAGCCCAACTGAGTGCATTTGATTCCATATGACATCAGAAATTGGCCCTGTTTGAAACCCCTTCTGCTAGAGCTGAAGGACAAAAGGCTTTATTTCTGTTGTGAAAGCTTTAATATGATACATAACTACAGTAGAGCAAGTTTTCTGCCCACGTCCATTTCTTAGCTGAGGGCCATTCCTGTGCTAGTGACCTCAGCTTCCATCTGCATCTGTAGGTCTTTTCTTACCCTTGGGCTTCATGAATAGCTTGCTTATTTTTAAAGTATGGAATATATTTGGGATTTGAGAAGAAGCTTCATCTTTATGAAGCATTTTCACCAGAAATCCTTTTTACTTAATTTTTGTGAGGAAAGATTTAAGAACAGTGGTTGAAAGCCAGGCATGATGATGCACTCATACAATCACAATCCTTGGGAGGCTGAGACAGGAGAATTGCTACAAGTTGGGAATCAGCATCAGTTGTAGCGTAAAACCCTGTGTCAAAAAGAGAAAAAGATGAGGCTGCTGCCATTTGAGTGAGTTCAGGAGTCATCAGTACAGCTGAGTGGTAGAGTGAGTTCTTGAGTTGAGTAAGCTCCTTGTGTAGTCTCTAGCACTTTGAAACTCAACCTCTGAAAGCAGTATAAAGAAATTAAAGAATGAAAAATGAAGTAGACTGTTAAATGTTTTTTAGGTGTTCCACCACGAAAAGCTAGTTATATCGAAGACTTAGTTTTGATGCTGCCTCAGAACATTTGGGATAACCTATATAGCAGGTTTGTTTTTGAAATCCAACAGTCCTTTTATGAAAATGAAAGTAGTTATAGGGATCTTGTGTTTAGTCACAAATAGTCAATGTGTTGCATGATGCTTATGTAGAATATTCCCTTTCATTGTTCATTCCGAAATGTGAGTAGGAAGACTGTAGTGGGGCTCTGGCTTAAATAATTAGAATTTTCATATTATGATTATCTGTAAGATATGTGATATTTAACTTTAATACCTTATTTAAAGGATGTCACATCTCCCTAATACTAAAATTTCACATAGGTGTATGTACTACCAAAATTGAGTATTCTTACTCCTCAATTTTGAAGTTTTTAACTTTATTTTTAATCATTTTATGATGTAATTTCCCTATGTACGTTTTTCTTAAATACTAAAGATGCATTTGTTTTGGGGTTTTTTTTTTGTCTTTTTGAGACAGGGTCTCCCTGTAGCCCCAGCTGTCCTGGATTCACTATGGAGACCAGGCTGGCCTTGAACTCACAGAGATCCACCTACCTCTGCCTCCCAAGTGCTGGGATTAAAGGCGTGTAACACCACGCCAGGTGTAAAGATGCATTTGTTAAATGCTGTTTACTTGAGCAGGGAAGCCCCCTTGGCTTAAAATTTGATTATGACTGTACTTACTATATAAAAAAAGATTTATATATTTTGCGCTAGTTTTTGAAGACTTTTTCCTTTATTGTCACTTGTAATATTTTGTAGTGGAAGTAGCTATATGGAGAAGTTGGAATGTGGATAAAGCAGGTTAGATGACACATTGATAACACTTTATCTGAATAAACAACATCAAAGTTTTATATGACTTTTTTAGGTATGAGAATTTTCCCTTTGGATTTATTCTTAACTGGGAACTTAAACATTGATTAAAAGGCTAGAAACAATTTCCTGGGACATTGGCTTTCTCCGAGGTTGTTGTGATTTTTGTTCTGTTTCATGCTTCAGGTATGGAGGAGGACCAGCTGTCAACCATCTGTACATTTGTCACACTTGCCAGATTGAGGCAGAGAAAATTGAAAAACGAAGAAAAACTGAATTGGAAATTTTTATTCGGGTAAAAGACATAGTATTTCCAAATTGTATTGATGTGAGATAGAGATGAAGACCTGGCGGTTCAGGAATTCCAATTTGTCAATGAAATGAATGGTGGGAGAGCTGGGGCCGAGTTCAGTGGCCTGGCTGCCTGGCAGTGACCGACCTGACAGTGACTGATCTGAGGCAGTGACCAACCTGAGGCAGTGACCGACCTGAGCCAGCTCACTGTAATTCTGTGTGTGCTGTGTTTGTTTTGTGTGCACCAGCAAAGCATTTTATGTGTTGGCCATGGCAAGAAATTTTACAAAGATGGGAAATTATGATTCCTGGTTGGTGTTGTCTATGGTCTATTTGACCTACAGGTAGCTGTGGCTGTTTATCTGCTAATGTAACCTGCAACATCATTCCTGAAGGGCCCTTAGCTCTATTAGAGTTCTGTAGTCTGTTTTAACCTCTGCTTAAAAGGTCTGAAAACACTGAATCATGCCTGCAGTTGAATGAATTGTAGTTGATGGTTCCCAAAAAGATATTTCCGTGCCATACCTTTTGTGAATTGACCTTACTTAAAAATGTGGCCTTGAAAACAAACTTTGCATGTGATTTTTGGGATGAAATCCTCATCCTGGGCTATCTAGACTCTAAATTCAAGAGTTTCTTTCAAGAAACAGATACTGAGAAGAATCCGGGTGTCGTAGCACACACCTTTGATCCCAGCACTCGAGAAACAAGACAGGCCGATCTCTGTGAGTTCAAGGCCAGCCTGGTCTATATAGTGAGTTCCAGGACAGTCTGGTCTACACAGTTCCAGGCTAGCTGGGGCTACAGAGAGCCCCTGTCTCAAAAAGACCAAAAAAATCAATCAATCAATCAATCAATCAATCAATCAGAAGACACTGAAGGAGCTTTTTAAAAGGCATGTAAAGATGGGAGTATAGGTGGAAGTGATATAGCCACAGGCAGCTCTTTGAAAGAGCAAGAAGTGGACTCCTAGAGCCTTTCCATGGGGAAGGTTTGCCAACACTCTGAATTTGGATTTTTGGTCTCTAGAACTGTAAGAAAGCAAATGTCCCTTTTCAGTTACCCAATTTGTGGGCATTAGTTATAATAATACTCTACAACTGATCCTTGTTTTTTTCTTATTTTTGTTTTGTTTTAAATAGGGTTTCATTATGTAACACTAGCTGGCCAGAAACTCACTTTGTATATTAGACTGGCTTGGATCTCATAAAGACACACCCGCCTAGTTCTGCCTCCTGAGTGCAGGGATTAAATGTGCTGTGCCACCAGACCAGGCCTGTAGTCTCATTTTTTAAATTTAATTTTCTTGCTCCAATTGTATAGCAATCATTTGTTCACTCTTTATAACTGAGCTTCATCATTCTGGCCAGTGCCACTCCTTTGCAAGTTGGGTCAGTGACATGAAAAACTCAGTAGTTGGGAGTCTGTGTCACCTGGTCGTGGTGGCACATGCCTTTGATCCCAGCAGTTGGGAGGCAGGGGCAGGTGGATCTCTGTGAATTCAAGGGCAGCCTGGTCTACATAGTGAGTTCCAGGACATCTGGGGCTACAGGGAGACCCTTTCCCAAAAAGACCCCCCCCCCCCGAAGAAAAAGTCTGTCTCAGCTGCTAGACTTTTGTTGTTTACCTCTGGGAACCTCTAAAGTAGTAGGCCAAAGTTATGTGTATGGGAACTAACACTTTTGTGACTGTTAAGGCAGGTAGTTAGAGATGGGTCTTTTATGGGAAAAACAAATTACTGATTTCTAGTTTAGGGCATCTATCACATCGTATAGAACAATCCCACAATCCCACACCTACAAAAATGGAGTCATTGATAGACCATTGTTAGACCAGCATTGAAGAAGACACATGAACCTTTTGGATGTAAGCCCATTTCTTCACTTCTTATGTGTAAAATGAATTCCCTGGGCAGAAACAATGTGGGTGGAATACTAAGGCAAGGAATGAGACATCTGATGAACACAGGAATAGTAGTCCTCAAACACTGGATTAGGAAGGTAGACACAAAGCCCAAAGCAAGTATTGTGCAAGGACTTCTGTCCAGACTATATAAAGAACAAATACAATGCAGTAAGTATACAATTATTCCAATTTGAAAGTCAGTGAAAGATTTGAACATATTTTTAAGATAATATGGTTAATAAAGATCTGGAAAGCTGCATACTCTTAGGCAATAGGGAATTCTCATACAAATATTGATGGTGGGAAATTTATTATTTTACTTTTAAAAATTGTATTTTTATTGAGAATTTCATGCATGCATACATAGTATTTTGACCATACTCACCCCTACACCATCCTCTAACTCCTCCCAGACCCACCCCTACTCACTCACTCCAAACTTCGTGTCCCTTTTTTTGAGCCCACTGATGCCAGTTTTTGCTGCACACACATACGCATGGCTGTGGGGCCACACACTGGAGTGCAGTTGACTTATTGGGCCACATCCTTAAGAAAAACGACTGTCATGCAGAAGCCATTGTCAGTAGCTCTCAGCTAGCCATGGGGCTCATGGGTGCCCTGATGGGTGGGGTTTTTAAAGTCTACATGTTTAATGATAAACAGTTTGGCAGGTGCTGTTTGCTTGCTGATTGGTTTTGTGGTGTTAGAGATTGAACATGCTAGGTAAGTACTCTACCACAGAGCTATATTCCTAGCCTGGTGGCTTTTTCTTTATAGAGTAACACTTAGTCTATGACTTACACAGTCTCAAAGTATTTACTACAGAGAAATGACAATTTATATTCATGTAAAACTAGTAAAACAAACTTTTAAGCAGTATTGCTCATAAGCTGCCCTAAAATCGAAAGAGTTAAATTGTTCAGAAGCTACCAGATAAATAACAAAAGATCTTTAAAATTTTTTAAAAAAAATTTTATGTGTATGAGTGTATTGCCTGCATGTATTTAAGTGCACCCATGTCGTGCAATGCCTGCAGAGGTCAGGAGTTACAGTTGTTAGCTGCCATGTGGGTGCTGGGAATTGAACCTGGGTCTTCTGCAAGAGCAGCTAGTGCTCTTAACCGCTGAGCCATCTCTGCATCCCCAGATAACAAAGTATCTGAAATTCATACAGTGAGATACTACTCAGCAATTAAAAGCACAGGGACTCTGGCAAGTGTGGCTGCACACCATCATCTGACCATTTGAGGCCAATCTGGGTTACGCATGACCTTCCTCAAAGCAAAACAACAAAAAAACTACCAGTCAGGCATGGGAGAGCACTCCTTTGGTCCCAGCACTTGGAGGTGGAAGCAGAATAATTCATCCTCAGCTGCTCTGGGCTACATGAGAGTCTTGTCTCTAACTTTTACCCTCAATAAAAGATCATGAATTACTGATCCTTGCAGCAATATGAATGAATGGGAAACATGCCGTTGCCTGTGGCATGTGCAACTTTTCTCCTAGTCAGTGTCTGCTGCAACTTTCCTTGGCAAACATCCTACAGTTGTAGCATCTTCAGTATCCCGTGTTTCCTAGTCCAACTTGGGCCTTACCTTCACACCTTCATGCAATGCCTTTAAAAAAAAAATTATTATTTTTATTTTATGTATATGTTTGTATTGCCTGCATGCAGGTTAAGTGCACCCGTGTCGTGCAATGCCCGCGGAGGACAGAAGAGACTGTCAGATCCCCTGGAACTGGAGTTATGGACAGTTTTTAGCTGCCATGTGGGTGCTGGGATTCAAACCTGGGTCTTTTGCAAGAACAGTCAGTGTTCTTAAGCACTGCGCTATCTCTCCAGCCCCATGCAGTGCCCTCTTAGAGCCTCCTCAAACAGATCTGACCCTGCCAGACATTGCCTGGCCTTAGCAACTTTCTGGAATCTTGGTGCAAGCCTCCATGGTGCTTATATTTTACATGCCTGAAAAATGAGCACCAAGTAGACATGTAAGTTTTGCTGCAAGCCCAAGGTGCAGCCTGGCCCCCTTGGCCCACAGCTGTAGCAGCCCCTATGTGCCTTTCCTAACAGAATCTTGGGAAATGCTTCCCTAAGTAGTAGTTTTTGAGCAGGTAACCAGAGGCTCTTGTCTTCTAAGGCTCTTTCAAATAAATTTGCATTGTTACACCCCAGAGGCACCTTTCCTATTGTCCTGGTGCAGAAGGTATGAGCCCCTCCCCCTTCTGGTGCAGAGTCTCTAGTTTAGGTTGGCCTTAAACTCCATATAGCTGAAGCCTTGAACTTGTGATCTTCCTGCCCCCACCTCCCAAGTGCTGGGATTATAAGGGAGCACTACCATGTCTGGTCTCTTTGGTGCTGGGGATCAAACCCAGGGTTTCTTTCATACTAGGTAAACACTCTACCAACTGAGCTACATCCCCAGCCTTTGGCTTTCTTTTAAATTGTGCTATCTGTTTAGCAGTTCTAGGACTTGGTCTAATCTCTCCATATCCACCCTGTCTGTTACTTTAACCATTTTTATAACCCTTTCCTTGTCACAACGTATGTTTTTCATTTCTATTTGGAATTTTCACTGTACAGCTCACTAAGTGCAGTGAGTGCTTACCGGGCCACAGCCTGAATGTTAGGCACTTTTGAAATTCTTTGTATCAAAAAGCTTGACTCCTTACTTTGAACTCGGCTTCACTCAGATCTAGACATACACAGAGTGCAGTCAGCCTCTTTGCCAGAATAAAACACAAATGGCTTCTAACCCAGTCCTTTTTTTTCTTAAACTTCCAGAACTCCCTTCCTCTATTTTTTTGTCTTATTCACCATTTTTTTTTTTTCCTCCTTTTTGATACAGGGTCTCTCTGTAGCCCCAGCTGTCCTGGAACTTACTATGTAGACCAGGGTGGCCTTGAACTCACAGAGATCCGCCTGCCTCTGCCTCCCAAGTGCTGGGATCAAAGGCATGCGCCACCACGCCCAGCTTTATTCACCAATTTTTAAAAAAATATTTTATTTTTATGTGTATGTGTATATTGCCTGCATATAGGTGAGTGCACTCGTGTTGTGCAATGCCCATGGAGGACAGAAGAGGCTGTCGGATCCCTTGGAACTGGAATTACAGTTGTTAGCTGCCATGTGGGTGCTAGGATTCGAACCCCGGTATTCTGAAAGAACAGTCCATGTTCTTAACTGCTGAGCCATCTCTCCAGCCCCATATTCACCAATTTTTTAAAATTTATTTTTATGTATAGAAGTGTTTCACCTGCATGTTTAAGTACATCCATGTGTACAGTGCCTGTGGAGGCCAGAAGCGGGCATTGGATTCCCTGCAACTGGAGTTACTGCAATGTGGGCGCTGAGAACTGAACCTGGATCCTTTGCAAGGGCAGCCAGTGCTCTTAACTGCTGAGCCATCTCCCCAGACCCCTAAGTTTTGATAGAATCATAGTTGTCCTCTCAAACCTCATGAGCAATTTTCCCTGTCTGAATTTCTTTGGTATGCAGATTAGCATACAGCATTCCAGGCCTTCTCTTTCTGGCAGCTCCAAACTCTTCCATTCTTTCCACAAACCAGTTCTGAAGGCCTGTAAACACATGGTCAGGTTTATCACATACAGCAATGACTCAACTCCTTGGTGCCAATTTTCTGTATTAGTTATTTTCATTGCTGTGACAAAATACTTGGCAAAAAGCAATTTAAGGAACTTTTGGTTCATGATTTGAAGGAATGGTCTCCATGGCAGCTCGAGTGGCTTGAGGTTGTAGGGGCTGGAGTGCTTGGCTGTGGAATCTCCACGTACCAGGAAACAGGATAGAACTGGCACTGGGCTATAAACCTCAAGGCCTGTACCCACGGAATCTACGCCTTCCAGTGAGGGCCCACCTCACAGAGGCTCCATAGCCTCCCAGAAGAGTTCTGACTGCACTGAGGACCACTTATGAAAGCATGTGCACCTATGCCAGACATTTTACATCCAAAAACTGTACCAGTTACTATAAATAAACCACAGAATGGAGGAAAAAATAGGTGTACTTGATGGCCTGGAAACTAAGTAGAACATATAGTATCCCTTTGATGAACCAAACAAAAGCCAGAGGAAGTGACCTTGTGGTTTGGAAGGGGCAGACACCAAGGACTTCAGCATTTTGTGCATGTGGAGGACACCATAAAGGAGTTGGTCTTTCCTTCCACAGTGTGGGTCATGGGAATTGAACTGTAGGTCTCGAGGCTTGGTTGTAAATGCCTTTACCCACCAAGCCCTATCTTGCTGGCCGGCCTTGATTTCTGTCTTTTTGAGACCAGATCTATTTAGCCTGACCTTGAACCTCTGACCTTCCTGCCTCTACTTCTCAAAGTACTCAGAATATATATCACCACACACAGATCTTGAATTGCTTAGAACCATCATATGTAGGCCCAGAAATTTTCATATCCTTTTCAGGATTCCTATGTAAGTAGCTATTCTGTGCCCCAGAAAGATTCTTGCCCTCAAGTGGTTACATTTAATAAATACATATTAAAAGGTCATGAACATCTTGATGTGGTCATGCCTGCCTGTAATCCCAGCACATGGGAGGCAGAAGGAGGAGTATCAGGAATTTGAAGCCACCCTGGGCTGCAAGAGACCCTGTCTCAATCCCTTCCTCAAAACAACAAAAAAAAATGTGGACAAGGAGAATTAAAGATACCAAAAATAATATGAGGGCTGGGGCTGAGCATGGTAGCACACACCTTTAAGCTCAGCACTCAGGAGGCAGAGGCAGCCAGATTCCTGTGAGATTTGAGGGCAGCCTGGTCTACACAGTGAGTTCCAGGCTAACTGAGGCTATAGCGAAACCGTGTCTCAAAAAGACAACCACACACACACACACACACACACACACACACAAATGGCAATCTGAATTAGGTGTGTCTGTGGATGTAGTATACATCATGGACATTTTATTATCCAGTATGAAATACTACTTGAGTTAGACAAGTTCCAAATAGCCTTTATTCTTTTTTTTTTTTTTTTTTTTTTTTTTTTTGGTCTTTTTGAGACAGGGTCTCCCTATAACCCCAGCTGTCCTGGAACTCACTATGTAGACCAGGCTGGCCTTGAACTCAAAGATCCACCTGCCTCTGCCTCTCCAAGTGCTGGGATTAAAGGTGTGTGCCACCACGCCCGGCTCCTTTATTCTTTTTTAAAAATTTTTTACATATATGAATGGCTTTATAGCCCATGGAGGCTATAAAGTGTCAGACCCCCCAGAACTGGAGTTATGTATGATTGTATGTTGCCTGTGGGCACCAGACCTCTATGAGAGCAGCCAGTGCTCTTAACTGCTGAATCATCTCTTGTCTTCCTTTATTCTCTCAAGACCCTGTTGCTTGTGCTTCTTTTTCTATACCAGTTTTTCTAACCATTTGGTTCTTTTTAAGTTGGCAGTGGTAGAGATTTTTAATAAATATATAAAGCATTACTATATGTTTGCTTCACTTATCCAGTCTTTTGTGTATGCTTTGTTCTATTTTGAGACATAATTTGTAACTGTTTATGGTACTCTGGATGTTAATACTGAGATAACAGCAACAATGTTCATCTTCATGGTACCACATGTATGTATGAGAAATTGTCTTATTAGATGTTGAAGGAGAACGACTGTTTTGTTCAGCTGCAGAGCAAGTTCCAGAAGTGGGGTGTGGTGGTGCAGGTCTTTGTATCAGTACTCTGGAGGAAAAGGCCAGTGCACCTCTGTGAGGCCAGCCTGGTCCGTATCCCTAGTTCCAGCTCAGCCAGGGGTACATAGTGAGACACTAGCTCAAAAAGAAATTCCAGAAATTAGGTACCTGACTTTTCTTCTCTGCTTCTCTGTAGCTCAACAGAGCGTTTCAAGAGGAGGATTCTCCAGCCACTTTCTACTGTATCAGTATGCAGTGGTTTAGAGAATGGGAGAGTTTTGTGAAGGGTAAAGATGGAGGTAAGTGGTTAATTCCAAAATTTTTAGGAAACTTTTTGTTTCTTCATTTGACCCAGTTTGTATTTATATGCACTTGAGATTACTCCAGTGGATAAAAAGATCCACAGCTTATGAGCTTAGGTTCTCATTCATAGTCTTATTGCTATAGACTAAAGAATGGCATCATGTTCATGACAAGGTTAAGAGAACTGAACAGAATTTGTGTCTACTTTTAATAATGAAGACTGGAGAGAGTTAAGAGTGCTTGCTGCTGCCCTGGAGGACCCAAGTTGGGCTTGTAGTGCTAATGTTGGACAGTCACAACCTCCTATATCTTCAGCTCCAGCCCCAGGGAATTTGACACCCTCTTGTGGCCTCCACAGGCACCAGCATATATGTGCCAGACACATACACACACACACACACACACACACACACACACACACACGTAAAAAATAAAAATAAATCCAATCTTAGTATTAAAAAAAACTTAAATACCATTGAACAGTAGGATAGTGGGCAAATTACAGCTTATCCAATATAGTGGAATAGAATGTGGACTTTAAAAATAATTATTTAATAAATTGAAAATAAGATGTTCTTGATATGTTGGATTGCAGCAAAGAATGCATAGCTTGAACCCCGTTTTAAAAAAATTATTGAGAGTTTCATATATGCATGTAAGGTGTATGGATCAAATCCATGTCCACTCCCTCCCCTCCAACTCCTCCCATATCTCCCCATCACTTTTTTCTGATAACTTCATGTACTCTTCCTTCTTCTTTATTTTTATGGGGGCTTTTGGCTGCTCTAACATGCCCCCCTCTGAAGAGGGGACCCTAAAATCTCTTAAGGATTAGATACAAGCTCCCAAATACTTTTGACACTTTTGGCCTTTGGAACAGAGTATGTTGCTAACAGTCCCAAGGACATTTTGACTTTTAGCCAAGAAACTGGCTACTTTTCTTTGGGGTCTTTTTACCCTAACTGCCTAGCCAATTCCTATCTCCTATTCTTATCACACCATCCTCTGAAGGGGTTACCCAAATTGCCAGTAGGGAATTGGGACGCAGACCGCTTTAGCTTCTTCCATGCTGAACAGGGACGCAGGGTGAGGCAATTGGAGTACCCCTTCAGTGGGTCTATCTAAAAGACTCCCAAATTGCATAACTCTTGTCTCTAAGGGAAAAGAAAGTCCTTGAATTGTGAATAGGAGATGTGAAGAAGTAAAGGTAAGAGTAATTACAAGTTCTAGACAGGGAACTAGAAAAGGTCAGAACAGGGCAATTTATGAGAGTCCATTGGAATTTCTTGACAAGGGCTTCTAAAAGCTTCCCTCTATTGGGCTCCTCCTCCTTTTTCTTTGGTCTTCTAAGGCTGGACTCTAGAGTAATGGATTCAGGATTTGCTTTCAGATATTTTGATAGCACCATGTGGAGGCAGGATCTGACCCAGGGGCTCTCAGGCAGTCCCCTGCATTCTCAGGCCTTCTGCCAGAGGGAGGCCAGAACTCGACACTCTGGCGGTCTGCTGAGATCAGAGCCACTACACTGATGGAGCAGTTTGAACCCCTTTTTAAAATGTATTTTCAAGTTTGCATACAGGGTAATAAACATTATGGCATTTTCATATATATGCATATACACACACATATGTGTTTATATGGCACTGTACTTTGTTCTTCTTAGTCCCCTTTAAACAATGTATTGTGCAAATGCAAAAGACCCCACAGATATTAAAAGTCTTTTTGTAATACAATTTTAGTAACTTTCTTCCTTGTGTCTGTTTCGAAGCTTTCAACAATGAACAAGTACTGTACTTTTATAGTCAAGGAAAAAACAAATGAGGCCTTTTTTTGTCCCTAAAAGGATACATTTTAACACTTCTTTTTTATAATTCTTGCTTTCAATGTAACAAAAATCTGAAACTGATTGAGAATTATGTAATTTTTTAAAATTATAAAGTACTTGTTCTTTTGTGGCATTAAAAGAACATTTTGATCTCCAACCCCCAAATGGATAATTAAGAAATCATTTCTTTCTTTTTTTCTTTTTTCTTTTTGAGACAGGGTCTCCCTGTAGTCACAGCTGGCCTGAACTCCCAGGCTGGGCTTGATCTCACAGAGATGCACCTGTCTCTGCCTCTGCTTCCTTAGTGCTGGGATTAAAGGCGTGCGCCATTATGCCTGGCATGGAATCATTTCTTATAGACTTTCGGTGGTGCTAAGAGAGCCTCTCTCACCCTATTTCCTGCTTCTGTTTTGGGGCAAAGAAGACCCCCAGAGCTGAGAAGACATTAAGAACAGATTATATTTGGTAAAAAAAATAACCAATCTGATTACATATTCGTAGGTCTCAATTATTTCAGGTACAAAATTATGTAGTTCTTTGATACTTCTTTGAAAAGTATACATTTTATAATTCTTTTATCCTTTTGACATAGATCCTCCAGGTCCTATCGACAACACTAAGATCGCAGTCACTAAATGTGGTAATGTGATGCTCAGGCAAGGTAAGCTTGAAACACAGACCCTATTTTTTCCGTTTTTTTTTTTTTAAGACATGGTCTCAAAAAAAAAAAAAGAAAAGAAAAGGCATGTTCTATATTCTCCCTGTAACCCCAGCTGGCCTGGAACTCACTATGTAGACCATAGTTGGTTGGCCTTGAACTCACAAATATCTGCCTGCCTCTGCCTCTGCCTCCTGAGTGCTGGGATCAAAGGCGTGAGCTACCACCATGCCTGGCTATTTTTTTCCTGATACACAGGGTATCATGGACAGCCCAGGCTGGCTCAAACTTGCTATGTAGTTGAGACTGCCCCCTACTTCCCAAGCATTTATTAATACTGAAACATTCACTTAAGCTGATTTCTCTATGATAGGAAAATAATTACCAGCCATCCTATTTTATTCACCTAGTACTTCTCTATGATAGGAAAATAATTACCAGGCATCCTATTTTATTCACCTAGTACAAGAGTGTGATTCAGGCTTAGAGCACAACAAATAGTGGAAAGCAGTTTATGTTTAATTTTTATTTGAGGGAAGGTTTTAGGGCTCTTGGTAGAAGCCAGCAAAAAGCATCTCTAGTACCTTAAAATCAGACCATATATTGCAGCCTATAGCACACAAACTGATAATTTGAAGGTTCATGTTTCGGAAGTTCTCAGTCATCTCTACAGGACTCGCACTGGTGGGTATACTTTGAATGCTATGCAATACAAAAATACAGGTTGGTAAACATTCTTTCTACATACATGCAATTTTAGGAGCAGACTCTGGTCAAATTTCTGAAGAAACATGGAATTTCCTGCAGTCTATCTATGGTGGAGGGCCTGAAGTTATCTTACGACCTCCTGTTGTTCACGTTGACCCTGATATACTGCAAGCAGAAGAAAAGATTGAAGTAGAAACTCGCTCTTTATAATTTCGAGGAGATAGAGAGTTCTAGTGAGAAACCATTTTCACTTCCCTTGACACATACACAGTCAAAACATTCCTTAAAGCATGTTTATTTTCTTGACTTTTTTCATCTTTTAGACATTTCTTATTGGGCATTATGGAAGAATATGTTGAAATGTGTAATATAGGTTGGTATATTTAATGTTAAATAACTTACTATAATGTTTTTCAGTGTAATGTTTTGAAAGAAAAGGGACAGTTGTGATCAATTGGTAATTAGGAGGGTATCTCTGATCTTCATGCTACATGTAGGGCAGATCCATAATACCGTCTGTAGCATTGTAAATACTTTCGCTTTGAAAACTTTCATTACCCTCAACTACCATAACCAATCTTTTTAATTTTCAAAAGTCTAATTTAATTGTATAGTTTTGACATGGCTTGGCGTAGTAAAGAGCCTATTTTAAATTGAGAGTAATGATCAGAAAATTGTTAATTTCCTAAAGCTCAGGAAACATTAGGATGTCACTTCTTTTGCACTGCAGCATATAAATTAGCATATTAAAATTTACAAAATGTTTTGAATGTATCAGGATGTATTTAGTTTGAGTGGAATTTGTCATGAAAATAGTAACTTATTGCCGCTTATAATGTAAAATGTTAAACTTTAATTCTATAGCCCTGAATAGTATTCAGTAATGTCAGCGACTAAAAGAACCCTTAGGAGTTAGTTTTAGGCACATTTTATTTTGAGAGCATGAAGTATGGAATGTATCAGATGAGGTTGTTGATAAAGCTGAAACCACTTGCAAAATGATTTTTTAAATGAAATGCATAAAATGTTTTTGAATAATATAGTATGCACTACTGTTTGCTTGATTATGTAATGTCAAAAGTTTAACTCTATTCCAAGTACAAAAATGTACTGAACTACCCTCCAGACGGTGAGTTGTATTCATGAAGAGTCATGTGTGGGGCAGTGGCACCGTCTAAAGCAATGTTAAAATTAGTTCAATAAAAGCAATTTTAAATATGTAACCTGAATGTTGGATTTATTTGACAGACTTTAAAAGTGAAGGGGCACAGTATTTGTTAATATTGGTGCTTCTCACTATATCTTATCCTAAAATGTGCAACTAAGAAGTTTGTTACCAGAGTTTTGATGTTTTTATGAAATGACAAGTTCATTAAGTACCATTTAAGGATGGGCATGGCATAGCCAGTATACCAGCACTCCTGGAGGCTCCGGCTGGAGTATTTTGAGGTTGAGATCAGTCTGGGCTATGTAACAATACTGTGTCTCAAAACCCTTCCATATAGGATCTGTTTGAATTTTAAAATTCCTTTTTTTTTTTTTTTTTTGGTCTTTTTGAGACAGGGTCCCCCTGAAGCCCCAGCTGTCCTGGAACTCCCTATGACCAGGCTGGCCTTGAACTCAGAGATCCACCTGCCTCTGCCTCCCAAGTGCTGGGATTAAAGGTGTGTGCCACCACGCCTGGCGATTCTATGTTTTAAAAAAAAGTTTTATTTTTATTTTATGTGTACAAGTGTATTGCCTGCATGTATGTGAGTGAACCCATGTCATGCAGTGCCGCAGAGGTCAGAAAAGGGTTTTGGATTGCCCTGGAACTGGAACGGGAGTTAAGGACGGTTTGCAGCCGCCATGTGGGTTCTGGGAATCGAACCCAGGTTCTTTGCAAGAGCAGTCATCTCTCCAGCCCCAATTGATTCTATTTTTATTAGCACATTTTAATTTTATATATTTGAATTTTAAAAATAGTTTTTAGTTGTGCTTCTCAACCACTGAATATTTTTAATCTGTTTTTGTATCACCAGAATTTTAGTCAATTTTGATAATGATTGAAAATCAGTAATTAGTTGAAAAGGTTTGAAAATTTTTTTTTTTTAAAGACAGGGTCTCCCTGTGGCCTCAGCTGGCCTGCAACTCACTTTGTAGAACAGGCTGCCTCGATCTTAGAGATCCACCTGCCTCTGCCTCTGCCTCCTGAGTGCTGGGAGTAAAGGTGTGCACCACCTCGCCCAGCTCCTGAGAGGTTTTTTTAAAAATAATGTTTATTGTTTATTGAAAATTTACACTTCTCATTGTACTTAAGTGCTTTCTTAATATTACTTCACAATGAGCCTCTGTAACTGTCTTAGTTTCTTTATTGTCATAGTGATAAAATTCCCTGAGGAAAGCAATTAAAGGAGAAAAGGTTTATTTTGGCTTGTAGTCCAGAGGCACACACTCCATCATGGCAGGGAAGACCTGGGGACAGGAGCAGAAAGCTGGTGTCCACAATCAGGAAACCAAGAATGCACAGAAAGTGGGTCCAGGCTATGAAACCTCAAGCCCAAGGTGATTAGTTTGGGGGCCTGGAATTACTTTGCCTAAATTCAAATTATAGCTGTCATCTTTCCAGCTAGGGTTTACAACCATACTTAAGCTTTCTTCATTTGTTAAATCAGGGCTCCACCTCCTTAAGGTTTCCACAACCTTCCCAAACAATGCCACCAGGTGGTGACCAAGAGTTCAAACACGTCAGCCACAACAGTGACTGAAGCTAGTTGGCTTACCTGAGAGTCATACAACAAAGTGGCAGATAGCAGATTCTAATTCAAGTCAAAGTAACCAACCAAAATAACTCACCATGATAGTGTATTTTCCAATGAACTCCCTTGAAGCTGGTTATGATATCAGTATATACTGTATGCTGTAAGTAGAAATATGGTGAAATATATGTTAAGAATACTTATCCCCCAGGGCTGGAGAGATGGCTCAGCAGTTAGGAGCACTGACTGTTCTTGCAGAAAACCCAAGTTCAAATCCTGGGATGCACATGGCGGTTAACAACTCTCTGTAACTCCAGTTCCACAGGCACTGCATGACGGTGCACTTGCATACATACAGGCATAGCACTTATACACATAAGAGAAAAATAATAAAATACTAAAAAAAGAATACTCATCCCTAACAGTTTATTTGTAATATCATAATTGTCAGAATACATTAACGTGTAGCAGTATTGGCTAAAGGTTGGCCTCAGTGTGTTGACAGATGCAGAATGAGTGGTTTCTTTAAGGAATATTTTCTTCTGCTTTTATTTATTACTTTTTGCAGTGCTAGGGATTGAACTGAGGACTCCAAGCATGCTAGGCAAGGGCTCTACCACTGAGCTACACCCCAAGCCAAGGGTTATTTTGTTTTGAAGATACTTAAGCTGGACTGGGCCTGGACGTGCAGGCCTATAATCTCAAGTACTAGGGAGGCTTAGAAAGGGGAGCATAAATTTAGGGACAGCTTGGGCTACAGAGTAAGCTTAAGGTCAGACTAGGCACCAGTGAGAGTGTGTCTCAAAAAGGCTGGGGCTGTAACCTATTTGGAGAGTGCTTGCCTAGCATGCACTGAGCTCAACCCCAGTACTGGCAGGCCTGGTGGGAGGGGATCATCATCAAAGGATAGTGAGAGGGCTGAAGAGATGACTCAAGGTTAAGAGGACTTACTGCTGTTCTGCAGTATGTGAGTTTGGTCCCCAGCACCCATGTGGGCTGGCTCACAATCACCAGCTCCAGAGGATCTCACATCCTCTTCTGGCTGCTGAAGATAACCCACACACAGCAGACTCATGTACACATAAGTAAAAATAAATTTAATATCCAAAAAGGATAGTTAGAGTCTACCTGTGTTAAGAATATGCTGATTTTATAATATGAAGGTGATTAGTTTGGGGGCCTGGAATTACTTTGCCTAAATTCAAATTATAGCTGTCATCTTTCCAGCTAGGGTTTACTTAAGCTTTCTTCATTTGTTAAATAAGAATGTTACAGGCTGAATTTTGCAGGAAGCAAACACTGAGATGACATTAGCATATGAAACCAGCCATGTGCTCAGGAGGCTGAGGCAGGAGGGTCACTGTCAGGTTGAGGCAAACCTAGGCTATATGAACAAGTCAAAGAACAAAACACCCCTCCCATATATGGATACATAAATAATGAAATAAAAACAGATGTAGCTTGCAGAGTGGTGGCACATGCCTGTAGTCCTACCACTCTGGAGACTAAGGCAGGGGACTCAGAGATTTGAGGCCAGCCTGTGCTACCAGTACTCTCAAATCCAAAGAGTGCATATGATTTGCTGCAATGGAATGGGTTAAAAAAAAAAACTAGGGGAGAGCTTAGTACTACAGTGTATACTTTGCACTAGGTCAGTGCCCCACAACCCCCGCCCCCAAACAAGAAAAGAAAAGGAGAGCTAGCAGGACTTAGAAGTAGTTAAGAGAGTGATGCTTTGGATGTATTCGGTGTCAGAACTAAAACCCAGATGTGTTTGACTCCAAAATGTGTACTTAGAACTCACAAGTCAAACCTGTAGTAAGAGGCCGAGGAAGGAAGACTGTGGCCAGTCTGCCACAGAGTAAGTGTCCATCTCAACGGTAACAATTAGGAAAGGCTGCATCAATGGCAACTTTGTAACCTTGAGTCTGTGATGCTTGCTCCAGCTTCCTCCTTTTCCATTTTGAGCACTGAGTACTAAAATCTGTCCTCTACTTTATTTATTTATATATACATACATACACACACACTATCTTTGTAATTAATTTTTTTGGTCTTTTTGAGGCAGGGTCTCATTGTAGCCCCAGCTGTCCTGGAACTTGCTATGTAGAGCAGGCTGGCCTCAAACTCACAGAGATCTACCTGCCTCTGCCTCCCAAAACTGCTGGGATTAAGGGCGTGCACCACCATGCCCAGCTTTATACTGCCTTAAAATTTATTCTGAGGGCCAGGCGTGGTGGCACATACCTTTAATCCCAGTACTCAGAGGCAGAGGGGCAGGTGGATCTTTGTGAGTTAGAGGCCAGCCTGGTCTACATAGTGCATTCCAGGACAGCTGGGCTACAGGGAGACCCTGTCACAAAAAACAAAAACAAACAAAAAAAAAACTTATTTTGAATTATGTGTTTGTGTGTGAATCGCAGGGTATGTGCACGTGAGTGCAGGTGCCCCCTGAAGCCTGAGGTATTAGATCCCCTGGAACTGTTGTAAGCCTCCCAGTCTGGGTACTAGGAACCAAACTCTGGCCCTCTGCAAGAGCAGTATGTGCTCTCAACTGCTGAGCCATCTCTCTAGCCCCATGTTTCAAGTTCATTCACTTAATCTCAACTATCACTTTTTTTTTTTTTTTTTGGAGAAAGGTCATATTAGGTAGCCTTGGCTTTCCTGCAACTCTCAATGTAGACCAGGCTGGCCTGGAATTCACAAGAGCTCTACCTGCCTCTACCTCCTGAGTGCTAGAATTAAAGGTGTGTGTCCCCATGCCTGGCTTTAACTATCACCTTAAAAATGATTCTCAAGTGTATTTCACTGGTTTAATGTCCCCTAATCTGTAGTTCCAGTTGTTTATCTATGCTGGATATATTTACTCATGTATGGGCTTCAGGGCCAGCTCATCAATTATTTTGCTAAACCCCAGTGGTGTACAAGAATACTTAATTCACAAGTTTATGGGGCTCAGCTTGGTCTGGATTGGTCTTCGCTGAATTCACTGATAAGAGCTGCTGTCCTTCTCTGGGCTTACTTGTTTGTGCTGGGTTTGGCTGGTCTGGGGTAATTTCCACTGAGGTGACTAGATGAAAGTGCCCCTGCTTCTCAGGTCTTCCAGGAGCTATTCCTGGCATATTCCTTGGTTATGGCAAAGAAGCAAATCATGTCCAGCCAGTGTTATAGTCTGTGATTCACAAATGCCCCAAACAGACAGACAGGAAGATTTACGGCTGGGCTACACTCTTGCCTACAGGGTCTGAGTGCAGCACCGAGCCTAAGCACTCTGGCTCTTTTATATTATGTTGCTAAGCAGGCAAGCGGAATACAGAAGCCCATCACTGAGTGTTAAGCTTGAGCAAACATTTTCAAGGAAATACATAAGAAAATACAATTTTCCACCCAAACCCCCCACCTGCACAGAACTAGCTTCCTCCTCTTTCATAAACTGTTGGGGAACCCTGCTGCTAGGGTTGTAGTCCTCCATGTCCAGATAGCTCTAAGGGGCTCAGCACTATATGGAAGGACTCCCCTTCTCAGCAGGGGGCCTCCTGCTCTCTGCCTGACTTACCTGGGAAGTGCCGCCAAGCATGGATGCCTGACCTTATTTGGAACACGACCTTTGACATGACCTGGAGTAAAAACTACCCCCAGGTTTTTTCTATATGATAATCAGGCATTGCGCGGTAGTCGGATGATAGGAGCCTACTGCCACGTGTAAATAAAGCATACTATGAGCACCTATCAGCTGAAGCATTGGCTACTGCCTCGCCACTATATTTTCCCTAATCCCACTAAATAAATGGAGCTGTTTCACTGAGTCTGGAGCTGTTTGCATCACTGAACCTGCCTCCCTGGAAGGGCTTTCTTCTGTCAGTGCTCACTGGCCATCCCGACCCCGTTCGTCGCTTCTGCTCCCTTTGTTCTCGTGGAGCGGTGGCCAACGACCCACGAGGAGAGGGAGAGACCCCAAAATAAACTGACATTATCAATCTTACTGTTATTCTACGTTGTCTTTACTGGTCACAAAGTTCCCTCTAGGGGGGTTTTGTTGTACAGCAATTGTATCTTAGGAACCTCTAAGTGTTGTGGGATACTTCTTGTACAGAGAAACTCTAACCAGGAGTGAAAAGTTCCCAAGCATACACATGGAGAGTCCCCTTAATGATTTTTTTAAAAAATATTTTATGTGTATGTATTCGTGTGTTGCCTGCATGTAGGTAAGTGCACCTGTGTCCTGCAATGCCCTCAGAAGACAGAAGAGGCTGTCAGATCTCGTGGAACTGGAGTTATGGATAGTTGTTAGCTGCCATGTGGGTGCTGGGATTCAAACCCAGGGCTTCTGCAAAACAGTCTGTGTTCTTAACCGCTAAGCCATCTCTCCAGGCCCACTCCCCATTAATAATTTCTATTAAGCAACAATTACTTTTTTGCAGAAGCAAGCCAAGCATAACCTACAGAAGCCATAAACCAGCAGTTAGCAAAAACACTCTAGGATGCTCTGACCTATTCCCAAGGCAACCAGGGTCCAGTTGGCATGTGTTCCCATATCCTGGACCAACTGCCTGATAATTTTAGAAACTAGAGTCAGCCTAAACTTTAACATGGTGTAGCTATGGTTAAGAAGATGCCCTGTTACACCAAGTCATGCAGTACACTGCCTAACATTTCACTAGCCAAGTTAATGGATGAACTTACAATCAGGACACTGAAGTAGATTATACTCACATTGTAGGACAGGATGGCTTTGAACTCACAGCAGTCCACCTGCCTCAGCCTCAGTGCTAGGATTACAGGTGCGTGCCCCCACAATGGGCTAGACTGTACTTTCTATGAGTAAACCTTGCAAAGTCACATGGCAAAAGGCAAGGCAATTAGAGCAGTTAGTACTGACTACTATAGTCGGATTGCTTATAAGTGAATACTAGCTCTTATTAACTCTTTGAAGCCTTGGAAAGTTATTTGCCCCACTTATCTGCAAAATTATCCTCTACTTCCTTGGGCTGTTGTAAATGTCTTATTAGACACAAAGTATATTGTAAATGTGCAATACCCTTCTACCTATTATTGGCACAACCCACACGCCCTGCCAGTTGCATAGTTTTATGTTGTGCTTTTCAACTGTCAACAATCTAGAGAGCTCAGGTACCAATGCAGCTGATGACCTCGATGATTTATGTCAGAAGTGTTAAAGTTGGGAGAAATTATGGCGTCATGACTTATGAGAGCAGCTATCTAGATGGTAGATGTATTAAACAAACCCTCTGGGTTTCAATTCCTTCAATTATTTCTCTTGCTCATGTGGAATTCTGCTGCAGACCTTACCTGTGTGTGCAAGTGTGAGCTCTGCAAATGTGGTGGCAGGTGGTTCTCTGACAGTGACATCACGATGCCCCTTAGGCTGAAACACTCTCCTAGCATAACAGGGCACTTCACATTTCTACTGCCACGAAGCAGTGATTTTTCACAATTCTGTGAGCTGTCTAGGTGGTATCATCTGGCTGCCTTCAGTAGGTGAACTATGCTCCTATGGCTGGGGCCTTCATGGTCACTACTGACTGAGGTGCTAAATTGCAAGATGCAAGGCTTTCTCTCCCCATGACTATGAACTATGCCTCCTGAGAACTGCCTTTCTGTAGTTCTTTCCATATGAGACAGCAGAAATGACATTGTGCCATTTCCAAGTGCCTGCATTCATTCACTATATCAGAGCTCAGCTGACGGAGGGAGAGAGGTCCTCAAAGGCTTTGGTGCTACTGAGAGATGACTAGATCATAAGGGTGCTAATGTCATCAATGGGTTAACCATTGGTAAATTCATTCTAAATAATCTTATCAGGACGTGGGACCTGGTAGGAGGGAGGCCATGGGGGACACTGAGGGTTACATTTCATCCCTGGCCTCTTCCTGTCTCTGTGCCTCCTGGCTGAGGTCCAGTGGCTTTTCTCAACCACGATGCTTCTGTCTTGTCACGGGTCTAAAAGCAGTGGAGCAAGAAGACACTAGACCAAAACTTTGGCAAAATAAATCTTTCCTCCTTTGTTTTCTTGGGTATTTTTTTTGCAAGGATCAAAGATTTTACTACCACAATGCTCCATTACCAAGTTACACTCCAGCCCCTGGCATTCTTTCTGACTTAAGAATTTCTTCAACTTGTAAGTAGGGGTGGGATGTTTCTGAATCTCTGAATCTGTGGTGTTTGAACCAATAGTAACAATGCTGTAGAGTGTTACCTGACCTCAAAGAAACTTTCTTCTTTCATCTGTCCTCTCTTTTTTAGGAGGGATCTTTTTTTTGTCTTTTTTTTTGAGACAGGGTCTCCCTGTAGTCCCAGCTGTCCTGGATGTCACTATGTAGACCTGGCCGGCCTTGAAGGCGTGCGCCACCATGCCTGGCCTGGGAGGGATCTTTTTGAGACAGGGTCTCCCTGTAGCCCCAGCTGGCTGGGAACTTGCTGTGTAGACCAGGCTAGCCTAAAACATTCACCTGCTGAGATTAAAGGTGTGTGTCAGGATACCCAGCCCTCATCCCGCCTTTTTGAGACAAGGCTTCATGTAGTCCAGGCTGGCCTCAAACTTGGTCTGTAGCCTGTATTTCTAACATTTGTGAGGTACAGGCAGGAGGAACGGGAATTCAAGGCTACATACAGAGTTGTAGGTCACCTTGAATTATGGAACTCTTCATCTCAATTTAAAACAAACTCCAAATCATAACACTAGTTTTGCCAAGAGAAAAGAGTGAACAGGCCAAGGTTGGGTTCCTCTGGCAGATATTTATATATTATTGTGCAGGGGATTTATTAGGGGATGCGGTACAGGCCGAGGGAGAAGTCTCAGTGACTGTCTCAGCTGGTCCTGCAGGTTATGCAGATGGATAGTCCAGGGTTGATGCAGGTTGGGATGAGATGCCTGGGCCTTAATCATTACATGGATCAGTTACTCCTGTAATTGTCCTTGGAAACATCATGACCTAGTGTGTCAATGACATGCCTGGCTCTGGATAACACTCCCCACAGCAAAGTTACATTCTTCATTCCAGAAGGTTATTAGGAACAAAATCTGGCAGGGAAACCGCTTTACTTTATATCTCTGTCGTGAAAGCAGCTCTGAGGCACTAAGAGCAGTGAAAGCTTGGGGAGAAGCCGCTCTGGTGTGGGCTTACAAGGCTACTCAGAAGCCGGAGCCAACAGAATGTTTTTGTATTCTTTTTTTCTTTAAGCTTGCAGATGTGTTTATCAGTCTAAAAATATACATGATATCCTTTATTTTGGAGCAGCTATTTGTGTGGAACTAGATGAAAATACGAGCCCTTTTCTGTGGATTTGATCCTTATTCGCACTGAAAAGAAGCCCCCCACACCACCTTGCTTGAAAAAGTGGCCAGATAAAAGCAGCAGCTGCAAGGGAGGACGGTGGAGAGCCCCCGCGAACGGACCCCACCCCAGGACTTGGGTATTTGGGGAATGTAATGTAACCACAGGCAATTTTAGGTCAACGTTTCGACAGATCCCAAGTGGTGGTCTGCGGCGCTTTCAGCCTAGAGATAGTGCCATCTCCATGACTGAAGGTGTCTTTATTTTTCCGGCATTCCCATTACTGTTTTTGAAGGAAGGTGTTGGGGACCCAGAGGTTCACGTGGACTAAGCACCCACAACCACAGGGACCCCCACCCCCCCAGCCGTCATTTCGACCAGTTGTTGAGCCTTGCTTTGAGCTCGGTTCTGGGCAAATGGCAAGGGGACATTTACCAAGTCTTGCCTTTCAAGAGATTACGTTCTTGACGGTGAGAGCAGCTACGAATCATGGGTGGGCATGCTGCCCCGGGACTCAGAGCAACGGTGGGGAGTGATCTGCGCAGCCTCGGCCCTCCAAGAGAGAGACCGAAGTACGCCGGGGACCGGCCAGGCAGAGTACAGGACAGCACAGAAGTGTCCCAGCCCGAGGGGAAGGCGCGTCCAGGTCGGGGTTGGGGTTCCGAGCATGCGGGACAGAGCCCGCAAGCCAGGCCTGTGGGGCGGAAACCGACTGTGCTGAGCGCCCCCGAGCACAGTGCATCTCTGCTGACTGTATTTCCGTGGGCGTAGGGCGCGTCGCGCTCCGCAGGGCCTGCCCGTGCTGCCGGCTCCGAACTCCGGGCGGCGGGCCGGGACGCGACGGCTGCAGCGGCCTCGGCCTCCAGCAGGAGGCGTGGTGAGCTCCCGCCGCCCGTCCCAGCCCCAAGTCAGGAGGGGACCGGAAGGAGCCGCTGGTGCTGCGGGAAGTGGCAGGAGCGGGAGGCGGGGACCTACCTGGAAGCGCCGCGCCGCGCCACTGTGGAGCTTCCTGCGGCTGCGGGCGCTCGAGCAAGTTCGGCGGGAGCCGGGGCGGCCACGCGGGCGGCGACTCCTCGAGTGGCTCAGGGCGGCCAGTCGGCGCTGGAGGTGAGCGGGCGCTCGGGCGCTGCGAGGGCCGGACGCGGGGGCGGAGAAGCCGCGCGGAGCCCA